AATAAATTTTACCTGGTGTAAATTGAACTCCTTTTCAGTGTTAAATATTATGTGTTTGTGGTCAAATTATCATACTACACAGAAAAAAGGAAAAAAAAAGGAAACAGGAAGTTCCTTGACGCATTACTAGTATATTACCAGTGGTATTATTCCAGAAAATGAAACCTTCAACTCGCTACAGATAATGTTTTTAGTGCGTTCCACTAACTTAAAATACTTCAAGTATTGACAGCTGTTTCCACCTATTTAAGGTCTCTTTAGTATCGAACAACTTGTAGTGTCACACCAAAGCAAAGGATTACCTATGTTTATATATTCTTCATGTAAGTCAACAGAGGCGAGATTTAAGAACATCACGTGATCCACAAAAATATAAATACTTATGGGTCAACTGGGTTAAACTATTCCTTTTTTTCTGGGTAGGTGCACCTCAAATATTTTTAGATAAACACCGTTTTGGTGTTCATTTTCAACCCTAATTCATGGTGTTATATTAACACCACTTGGTGTTGGATTTTGACACCATTTTAGGATTACTTTTTACACCGCAGATATTTTAAACAGTGTATATAAACAAAATGAGGTCAAAAGTTTCCCACCTTTTGTAGAATCACCCATATCTATGCATAAAAACTTTGTTAATTTTTAATTAAAGTTTTCAAAAACAAACGTCACAAAAAAGTTATGCAAATGAAATAAAATTAAACCCTGCACTTGTACGAATGTCTGTGTGTTTTTAAATACATGTGAATTATTTTTGTGACATTTTTCTCGTGCAAATTGAAAAAGTTTTTAATCTAAATTACAATAATTTTCGCAGGTAGGTTTCTATTTTATACACTGTATGTATAAGACAATAAACTGCATAAACAAGATAATTTTCCATATCAAGTATAAATATATACAGTTTGGAGTTAATCTGTACATTTCCATATATATACAAAACGAAATTGAGATTGTCGAGGGAAATATAATAAAAGTGATATTTTAATCCACTTTATAAAGGGTTTTATCACGCCAAAACCAACAGAGGGGGAGATATGATTCAGATTTTAATTGTATTGCAAGGAAAAATTATATTTTTAGGTTTTAAAATGTAAAGTATTTTATATTTTTCCCTTGCAGTACAAATAGGTTTAGACCATAAATTTTTTATATTTTTTAGGGCAAGATGTAATGTATGTTATCTCTTTTTGCATTACCTTCTTCACTTACCTGTATATGGATATTTTGTCGTTTAAATATCAACCTATATGGAATTGAATTTTGGACGAAATATCCATTTTTACTTTATTCTAAAAAATATTCAATTTTATACTTTTTGTGATATAAAATTAGCATGACTGATAAGAACGTATTTAAAGCTTAAACCCATTTTGCTTGATAATATTTTAAAATCCATTAACACTTTACATAAATCGTTTTAATATACATTGTGAAATTTTGGTTAAATGCAAATATAACTGTTTCATAAATATTTCATTTTTTAATGTTATTTTTTTAAATTATTTTCGAAACAGGACATTCTACATAAAATATGTTTACAATTTTTTGAATAATCCAAAGATTAAAAAATATATTTTTTTAAAATCATAACTACTTCCAGTGTAAAACGCAAACCATAAAACTTTATTTTAAAGTGAAAAAGACATTTTTCTATTTAAAAAAAAACAACGAACCTTTCAGGGTATTTGGAAAAGTAGAAAAGTTCTAACCAGCAAAATGAAAGGATATACTGACCAGGTAACTTATAATGCTCGATAAATCTTTCGTAAAACTAAAGTTTATGTATTGGCCGTGATTTCAGAAAAAGAAAATAAAAATTACAATGTTCAGATTTGTTTACTTGTGGGCTGTGTTTAAATTACAATAAAAAATATTTCTAAAAAGTGTACAGATCAGTGTGTGGTATAAATGGTTTAAACATTGTCACTTTAATGCGTTTTAATTGTAAGTCTGAAAACAATCAGTAAAATGGCCAGTGTCCAATTACTGGTTGGTAAAAAATGTAAATTTCTATTATTGGACATAAGTCCAATACCATACTCTATTTGTATCCCGGACATTTACCAGCCAATTCTTATGTAAAATTGTCCCCTGAATCCGAAAAGACCGTCAAAAACTATAAACGTTAAGCAGTTTTTGAGATATGGTCAATTCCATATTATATGCAAAATTGATTATATTTCAAAAACTGTTCTACTTTTATAACTTTTTGGATTCAGCGAATAATATTTCATAGGAATTGACTGCTAAATGTCCTGGACACAAATTGCTGTTGACGAGAATTATTAGTGGCTGCTTTTTCGCTATGACATTTTTGACTAATTCATTTTTAGAGAGTAAGTAATATAGTGATTTCTTCGTCACAGGACATCTTCATTTAAATACAGTGCATGATAGAGAACATAAAAAACTAATGGCAACAAAATTAATAAATTCGGAAAATACTTTTAACATACCACCCGAAAAAATATTAGATATATATAAATCGACCTGTTCCGACCTAAACATTATAAATGCTTCACAAACTAGAAATACCACACTTAATGATATTTGCAACAAACTATTTCAGAAATCATACCAAGGAATTAGTAGTACCTACAGAATCCAAAAAAGGGATGAGAAATCCGAGAAAGAAATATATGAATTGTATTATATTTACAAAATCGAAATAAAAAAAATTACCTAAAACAGCAACTTTAAAAATATTTAACAATTTATGTTATTTGATGTAAAGTTGTTATGTTTATATAAATATTGTATGTCCAATAACTATGGTCCATGTGTCCAATTACTATATTTTTTTGCATGTATTTATAAAACTATTATTAAAAATTCAAATATTCTTATTTTTAAGTAAACAAACACACTATCATTTTTATATATTTATAAGAAAAAAACTAAAATCTTTAAAACAACGGCATATATAAATTTTAAATAAATAATATTCCTTATGTGTTCAATAACTATGTTTATATTAATATATATATATTTATGTTTTTATATTAAAATTTAAAAAAATGGAGAATGCACCGGGATTAATCCCGGCGCATTCGCCATTTTTGAAACATTTTAACAAGTTCGTGTATAAACATACTTTTTCGAAGCAAAAATTAATTGTCATGGTAGTAATCTAAAATATAAATTATATACCGCCCATAAACAACTTTCATAAAACTATGTAAATAAAGTTACTTTAACATAATCACTATAAAACAATACATTTGGTTTTGTATGTATATTGTTAAATTATTATCACAGTTCTGGGTTTTCAATTTTTTATATGATATTTACAAAAACAAATTAAAAAAATTACAGCAACTTATCTTTAAAAAATATTTAACAATTTATGTTACTTGATGTAAAGTTGTTATGTTTTTATAAAAAATTGTATGTCCAATAACTATGGTCCATGTGTCCAATTACTATACTTTTTTGCATGTATTTATAAAACTATTATTAAAAATTCAAATATTCTTATTTTTATGTAAACGTACCTAAATAAAGTTTAAACAAACACAATATCATTTTTATATATTTATAAGAAAAAAACTAAAATCTTTAAAACAACGGCATAAATTTTAAGTAAAAAATATTCCTAAAGTATCCAATAACTATGTTTATATTAATATATAAATTTATGTTTTTATATTAAAATTTAAAAAATGGCGAATGCACCGGGATTAATCCCGGCGCATTCGCCATTTTTGAAACATTTTAACAAGTTCGTGTATAAACATACTTTCTCAAAGCAACGGTATATTTAAATTTAAAATAAATAATATTCCTTAAATGTCCAATAACTATGTATGTGGTTTACCCTATATAGAGTAAAATTTGTTGACATGTTAATATTTGTTTAAATTTTTTTTTAACGACAAATTTTTGCAACACATGACATCACGGTGCTGTTCTGAGAGGTGATTTTTGGACTTTCTGTGAAACCTAATTTTTTTTTATATTCTTGTTAATTAGGCCATAACTAAAATTTTAAGAGCAAAATAAAAAAAAATTGACGGTTTGAATTGTTTTAACTGGCTGTTTATTAAAAATATTATGCACTCTTTCAATTATCCAATTAAAACTAGCGATTTAATTTAAATATTTAATATTTGCATAACTAAAAAAAAGGTTTTTACAATTTTTTTTATATATTTTACTGTTTTGTTGCAATAAACGTTCAAACTTTTAATCTAACCTTTGACGTATACATTTATGTTCCCTTAATTAATATATCCTTAAAGGTTGCCATGAAACTTAGATCTATTAAAAATTTATTTGACGTTTGAATTGTCATTTTCAGTATACGTATTCTATAATTTTTGTTTAGTTTTTTAAAGTGTTTTTTATAAACAAAAATGAAAAATTGTAGTAAAAGTTACGAAGAAATTCATGAAATTGAAGTAAGGACCGGTTTATTCATCTTTAGTAAAGTTTATCGGGCCGATAACTTTCATGTCTTGGCAATATCTAGTATCCAAAGAAATTATTCGTCAAATAAATCAAAAATGAATAAATCGGCCCTAAATAAAATGTGACACCCTTAGAATTATTGTTTAATAAATGTATACTATACATTTAACCTTAAATTAAAACTTTAAACGTGTATTACAACAAAACAGTAAAAGATATAAAAAATGTAAAGACCTTTTTTTTAGGAAATTAACTAATCTTCAATCTGATTTAAAAAGTTATGATAATATTTAAATAAAATCGCAAGTTTTAATTGGAGAATTGAAAGTGTGCATACATATTTTTAATAAACATCCAATTAAAACAAAATTAACCGTCAAATTTTTTTTATTTTGCTCTTAAAATTTTAGTTATGACCTAATTAACAAGAATATAAAAAAATTAGGTTTCACAGAAAGTCCAAAAATCACCTCTCAGAACAGCACCGTGGACATGGATGAAGGTGTTTTGCAGAGTGAAAATAGCGTCGCGACGGCTCTCGATGTTGGAGCCGCGCTTCCAAAAGCTTTCAGTCGTATCACGGCCGTGAACAAAGCAAATCCTTGCGACAGGACCTCCGAGCTATCCACAGCCAACTGTTGTGCGCGCGTACTTATAATCACAACGTTCGAATTCGTGTTCGTTTTTGTGCTTTCTTCAACAGGAACCGCTTGTTATGGTAACTTTACTTAATGTGTTGTAATGCTGAATGTTGATGTATGTCCTTAAAAAATTTGAAGTGAGTTTAATTATTTGACGTTTTGTTAACTTATGTACGTATGTACTTATATCTGTCCCTCAGACAGGGTTGGTTAACAAGAATTGATGCCTCAAATTTAACGGCTATTGATTTACGTATTTATAGACAATACTAGGTAAAAAAATTGTGGTGAGGTCAGCGTCGGAATTTTATATTATTATTTTTTTTTCATAAAAATCTAGCAAAAATAAGTGAAAAACTAATTCTTGACAACGCATTAAACAAAAAAAATTGTCTTCTTTTAGGTCAGTTTTGTATTCAAAACTTTTGACATATCCTTATAGGAAGAAGTAAAATGACGTCAGATCAGGGGATCGTGCTGGCCATTTCCGAAACAGTTGAAGATAGGACGTTGTACATAAAATATGTCTACATTTTTTAGAGAAAGTCAAAAATTGCATAATATACTGGTTGTTGCATTTGAAATAAGAAAGTTGGTATAGGCCACAGCTAAATGACAAAAAGTTTTTGTTGAAAAAAATGCTCAACCAAAAATATCCCATTTACGAGGTGTGTTCAGAAAATATCAGGAATTTTTGTTTTTTGAAACAAATATTTATTTCAGAGAGACAGAGGCATGTCTGGCGAATATGGAGGCTGGGCCATAAATTTTGTTCAAAATTTAACAATTTTAGAACAAATTTGTCTGCCACGCGTTTCATACCCAAAACATTCGAAAAAATTTCATGGGATGAGCCAATCGATATACCAACATTATCAGCGACTTCTCTGATGGTTTATAACCATTTCTTCCACTTTTTCCATGTTTTTATCGGTTGTTAATGTGCTTGTGTCTTCACGGCCATCTTGGAAACTCTTATACCACTTGTAAACTCTTGTTTTACTTATAGCAGACTCACTATAGGCCTTTGATAACATTTCATACAATTTATTTCATTTTTTAAGCAAAATTGGATACAAATTCTTTGATCCATTTCTTTTAACGAACGAAAAATCGCCGAGCTCATAAAACACGTCTAACCTTAGCGGCTGCCACAGACAAAGTAAACAATGAAAACAGCTACAGTTTTTATCATACTTCGGGGGCATGTATACCAACATAATAAAGAAAATTTTATGACAACCGGACCCTCCGAACCCGCGTAATTTAACAATTCCCGTTATTTTCTGAACACACCTCGTATGTATTATCGAATATATTTGATTTAGTTGATACACCCTGTATAGTGAATATATTGAATGAAGGCGCTCTATATAAACTGATAAAGCTATTATTACAATATTTAATTATTAAGATTCTATAGAACACAACTTATTGATTTTATGTCAATTTAAAAAAATATCAAATTTACATGTTTTTAAAAGAAACATAATTAATTACTGACGTAAAATAGATTTAAAAATTTAACAAATATAATTTTTTCCACCTGGAAAGTTTTGTAATTTTTTTTATTTTTCTAAAAACTACTTTTATAGCTTAATATAATTATTTACAAAAAAATTTATATTTAGTTATAAATATTTTGATATCTCGGGAAACTGTACTGACATATTATTGGTTTACCATGTCTAACTGTAAGAAATATTTCCATGTTTCTTAGTTTCCACTCAGAAATTGTACATTTTCAAGCTTGAGTTTAATTTGGCAATATTTAATCAAAGTTTAATATTCAGCGAAATGTCTAAATAATTCATCATTATTAGTCACAATACGCTTTAAACTGCTATAACTTATGTATAAGTGCTAATCTGAAACTGAAATTAATAATTTGGAAACTTTAATACACTAGTGTGCTCTCTAATTAAGTAAGTATCTTAACTTGCAAAAAAAAATTATATTAGTACCTTAATAAATATAACTCTTAAAATATTAATTTCAGAGATTCAATTTATAAAACTTTTTTGTAGAAGACTAATTTTCCTACAAAAAATGTTATTCACTTTTTTCTCTGAAATAAACCGTTTACAAGTTATTGTGAAAAAATTAATTATCTAAATGCACAGGTACCTTGTTTTTACTTACAATTTATTATGCTATCCATGTATTCATTCTCTTAAAATTTAATGAAAAATAATGCTTAAACTTCTATGATCTATTTTTAAACGCAATATATCTCTTATAAAATTGTAGTTTACTTCTTTTTAGTTCCCATGCACTTATACTAATATTAAAAATATGTTGATTAGTCGAAATATTGATTTTATATTTAATTTTTAATTATGATCTTTTTCACCAGCTATTTTTACCTCAATTTGTTCAAAATATTAGGTGTATACTTAGGTAGTCAAGTGTAAAAAAAAATCATTTGGAAATATTCTTGAACAGTTATTTTTTAATTATTTTAAAAGGTTTCTGTAATTTCTGTTAATTTTTAATTGAATGAAGATCAAAGGGCCGTTTATTTTTATGTTTAAAGAAATATTTAATTTGATTGAATTTTTAATCAACTTTAGATAATAAAAAATGCTATACACGTTAAACTTCATTTCAGTATGTCACATATACCAAGTTCACGCTTCTATAGAAGAAGCTACTTTTTATTTTTCCTTGCTTTGAATTTATATTTTTCGTAATTTTCACATTAACCACAAATATAATTTTGACCTTTGACCTTTGACCTTTGCTTGACCCTTAACTTTAATTTCACGCTGGTAACATATATTATTCTATAAAACTAATTGTCAACGGTTAATAAATCTATACTTAAATTAATTTTACAATTTTGTTTCATAACAAATTTATTGTAGTGTCATTTTAATTAATTTTGATTTTAATTGGTGGTTGTGATTTACAATAACAGGCTAACTATTTTTATACACCTAATTTTTAAAAGTTGTTACGTTATAATTAAATCAAAAATTGTATTTAAATACAATTGTTTATAAACAAGGGTGCAAACTTTATGATGTGAGAGCTTACACGCTATGACCCAAAACATTATTAACCTGGGGTAAATAATACTTGTTGCTTTTTTCGATTATTTATTTAATGCTCCCAGCAAATCAAATTTTGATCAGATTCTCTTTCATGCCACAAATAAAAAGTTAATAATTTGGTTTCTGCTATAAATGATTATGATTTTTGTGAAATTTGGTAAAAGATATAAAAAATGTTAATCGAAATTGATTTATCTTCTAGTAGATATTATTCCTGGCTAATAACAGACAAGTAGGAAATGGGGCAGTTAATTTCTCGAGGATTAGTGACCTGGGGCATGTATCACGTGTGCCAATTCCAGTAAGTCCAATAAATTCAGTCCTATATTTCTTGTCCCGGTAATGGGGATTTTTTTCCAAACAATAAATTCGGATTTCCTTAAAAAAGACAGAATGACATATCAACAATGGTACTTTCCTCATAAATGCATCCTGTGCAATGCATTTCGCTTGTAACAAAGATTAATGTGATCTTAGTAGAAATGCGGGTAAGGTGTTAACCTATATGTTTTCAAATATCTGAGGTAGTAAAAGCATACTAAAAATATCAGTTCACTAAGTAAATTAAACACATCCAAAGCAATGGAATTAAATATAAAATATTATTAAAAATTAAAAGAAATAATCCTAACCTCCGTGAAGCTATCTTCCGTGAAGCTCTAATATTCAAAATATATGTATACCTGAAAACTTAATTGACTTGAAAGAAAAATTAATTAATGGTAAAGTGGAGTTTTAATTTAAAAATTTTTCGTTCAAGTCAATTAAGTTTTCAGGTCAATTGTCGTCTGGAAGGATTATTTAGACGGAAAATATGACGTGGTAAATTGCTTTAGCTGCCAGGTGTCAGTGATTTAATGAAAATGTATGGTATAAACCACCGCTTTAATAATATAAATATTCTTAATTTTGGTTTTACCAAGTTTGCGAAAACTTTTAAAAGATTAAGACTTATTTTACATTTTAAATTGAAATATTAATATTTATGAATGCGTTGTTTTTAAAATTAAATTTTCATAATAATTATTATTTTATTTATATTTTTAGATGAAGTAAAATGTACGGATACCATGGAGTCGCAGCCATTATTGAAAAATAACACCGAAAACATGACAAGTAATATGGGGACGATTGAATATGGGGTGAGTTACAATTTTTAGTATTTATTATAAACAAATATCCTGGTACAAATTCACAAATTATTTTTTTATCACGACCAATAATTTATAAAATTACCACCATTTTGATAAACATATGCATATGTATGTACATGTATGTACTTAATAAGTACTGATATTTAAATTCATTGACAAATATTTATTGTTAATTTATTAAAATTTATAGATATTGGTATGTCTATAAATAAACAAAATAAATTTTTAAAACAGGTTGTCTTCTATAAGAATTTTTTATATTTTAAAGAAAATAACAATTTTTCAATATTTCCATTTCTTTGGGCAATCAATTCATCCGCTATGTAAAATAATAATTTGTAATACAAAACCAAGCTAACGCGTTCATTATTGGAATGATTTCAATTTTTTGGGGCGTATTTCAAATTTGCTTGAAATTGGTTCATTATTTTTTCTCTGTCAGCAGATAAAAACTACATTTTAAAACATAAACTTTATAACCCAGTATAGATTTGCATTAAAAAAGTTATTTTAAGAATTTTACTGCTACTGTACTTTTTATTTTGATATAAAAATCATTAAAAGTTCTTTATCAAGAAGTTAGCTATTTTTTCATTGATTTAATAAAATAAAGAGAACTATATAAGGGTGAATATATTGAGATGTCCCTACCCTAATGCAAGATTTTTAAGAAATCATACATTTTGAATATTAGAGCTTCACGGAGGTTAGAATTTCGTAGGTTTTTTTAAACATCCATTTGTACATACATAAAATATTTATAAAAAAATCCACTTACCGAGATATTACACTTCACGGTGGATAGGTTTTTAAATGGCAAATTAATGAACCTAAACTTTTGAATTAGAAAACCAACACTCTCATATGCATATAAATTCTAACTGACCTTCAGGAATCACATGCATCTGTAATGTTGTAAACAGAGGTTTTTGCTTATTTAAAATGATTAAAGCGCCACCGGTGCATAAAATTTAAAGCTAAAACTGATTCACGGAGGATAGAATCAATGTTTGTAACACCCACATAAATGGTAATAAAAATTATTTCTTTTAATTTTTAATAATATTTTATATTTGATTCGATTGCTTTGGATGTGTTGGAAGTGATATTTTTAGTATGCTTTTAACCTAGAAAGAGTAAGTCACGGAGGATAGGTTTTAGACTTTTAAAACATTGTAAAAATAATTAATTGCGGTTAAAAATCTGGAAGCTGAGCTGTAATATCTACTTAATTATCAAAAAGATGAAAACACAATTAAAATGTAGGTCAAACTCATTTAGTTTTATTAAATATCACGGGGTAACACCATCGGGAAACATTTCGTGAGATACATGGAAGTCATCAAAATTTAAATTTTTTGCCAAAATTTAAATTAAAGGTGCACAATAACTGTGGAATTAGAAGGCATAGCTGAAAGGAATAAATTTCTGATATTCTCAAATGCCAAGTATTCGTCGTTTCCTCTCAAATTAACATTCCGATTTAACACAATAAATACGTTTTCTTTAAAGCCATATTTGTAATTCCAATTCGAAAAGTTTTTAATTAAATGTTTATATAAACTACAGTTATTTAAATTTTAAATACTGAACTTTTAAGTTGATTACATTAAACAAAACAAATTTAAATTTTGACTGAAATTTGACGTGGAATTACCCTTATTTAACACCTTTATAGAATTTATTCATTTTACTTTAAATTTAGCACTGATTAAGTGATTTGTAAATAAAATTATGTACATACATTTAAATAATAAAAGGTAAAACATAAATGATAGACGATATAAGGCATTGCATCGTTTATGAAATATTTTACGGATAATATAAAGGGAAATTCAGAAAATTGACAGCTTATACCTTACATTCATTTTCACAGCGAAAACTGCTTCTATATCTTATTCAAGCGGTTATTATTCTCTTTTGATTTTAACTGAATATTTTTGTATAGTCGCTCTATACGAATATTTTAGTAATAAATTATTTTTATAATATAAACTATACAATAATTTCTATTTTCATTTTGAGGTTATCGAGCTATGCATATGTTAAATTAAACCAATTATTTTTATATTACCTTCGTTAATTTTAGCAATTATCTCGCTTTATTTCAATCAAAATGTTTCATGGATATTTCAATTATTTTACAATTTAAACCATTAATTTTTATAGATTTTATTGAAATTAATTTTTTATTTAGAAGAACCATGATTATATTTTAGGAAAATATTATACAAATATAGAACAAAAAAGTTCGCACGTTTCTTTGGTGGTAAGATTTTTGTTTTTTTGTTAAGAGCAGGGCTGTGTTTAAATTACAATAAAAAATATTTTTAAAAAGTGTACAGATCAGTGTGTGGTATAAATGTGTTCCTCATGGTTTAAACATTGTCACTTTAATGCGTTTTAGTTTTAATTCTGAAAACAAACAGTAAAATGGCCAGTGTCCAATTACTGGTTGGTAAAAAATGTAAATTTCTATTATTGCACATAAGTTCAATATCATACTCTATTTGTATCCCTGACATTTACCAGCCAATTCTTATGTAAAATTGTCCCCTGAATCCGAAAACACCGTCAAAAACTATAAGTTAGTCAGTTTTAGAAATATAGTCAATTCCATATTAAATGTAAAATTGATTATATTTCAAAAACTGTTCTACTTTTATAACTTTTGACGACATTTTCGGATTCAGCGAATAATATTTTATAGGAATTGATTGCTAAATGGATACAAATTGCTGTTGACGAGAATTATTAGTGGCCGCTTTTTCGCTATGACATTTTTGACTAATTCATTTTTAGAGAGTAAGTAATACAGTGATTTCTTCGTCACAGGACATCTTGCAGAATAACAGTGATTTAAATACAGTGCATGATAGGAAACATAAAAACTAATGGCAACAAAATTAATAAATTCGGAAAATACTTTTAACATACCACCCGAAAAAATATTAGATATATATAAATCATCCTGTTCTGGCCTTTAAATGCTTCACAAACTATTTGCAACAAACTATTTCAGAAGTCAGACCAAGAAATTAGTAGTTACCTTTAGAATCCAGAAAAGGGATGAGGAATCCGAGAAAGAAATATATGAATTATATGATATTTACAAAAACAAAATAAAAAAAATTACCTAAAACAGCAATCCTTAAAAAAATTTAACAATTTATATTATTTGATGTAAAGTTGTTATGTTTATATAAAAATTGTATGTTCAATAACTATGGTCCAATTACTATATAAAATGTCCAATGTGTGTTTTTATAAAACTAATATTAAAAATTCAAATATTCTTATTTTATATTTTATATATTTATAAGAAAAAAACTAAAATCTTTAAAACAAAGGCATATATAAATTTAAAGTAAATAATATTCGTTAAGTGTCCAATATCTATGTGGTTTTCACTTTTTATATTAAAATTTAAAAAAAAATGGCGAATGCGCCGGGATTAATCCCTGCGAATTCGCCATTTTTGAAACATTTTAACAAGTTCGTGTATAAAAATACTTCTTCAAACCAAAAATTAATTGTCATGGCAGTAATATAAAATATAAATTATATACCGCCTATATACAACTTTAATAAAGCTATGGATGTAAAAATACTTTTAACATTATCACTATAAACAATACATTTGGTATTGTATGTACATTGTTAAATTAATTTTACAGTTTTAGGTTTTCAATTTATAATGAAAATTTCGTGACCTAGTATTCAAATTCTATTAGTTTGTGTCACTCAGGAACAATATGGTAACGTTTCACGTATAACCGCATACGCCTGAAGTTAGGTAAATTTTGTTTAATTACTGTTGCTCTGTGAAGGGTCTAGAAATAATAGGTTGGCTATAACACTTCATTTAAGCTTTGAAACACGTACATGTTTTTATTTGAGTTGCTTAAATGATAGCAATTAAAATGGTCACTCTGTCAAGCTGTTACAAATGTAAACAGAACACTACTATAATTATATCATCATCCATTTTTTTTAATTTCATTTTTATTTATTTAGAATACAGATTGCAGAGTAGAGAATACTGCCATTATAAACCAGCTATAACGCCATCTAGTGACAAAAACATTACGTTACCAACTGACAAATATTTTTATCGGTAAAATAAACCTCAAAGATATAGAAGCTGTTTAATTTTAAATCCATGAATAAGAGCTCAGTAATATTTAAATAAACTTGACAAGACTTTGCTGTCTAGGTTGATGTATGAATTTGGAAGTTTGTAAGCTTTTAAGTAAATTGTATCATGTAAGAACTTGCCCTCATAATAAATTTATTGTCAAAGGATTTTCCTCTGCAAATTCGTCACAGCAAAAACTTGTGTCAACATAATTAATGCATCTTGTATTGTGGCATATTAATATTACCTACATGTTTATACACGTAAATAATTATTTTACATCTTCAACTGTTGTATGTACAGAGAGAGGAAACTGGTTTGAACTAGTTTTAATCAAAATAAATTATCACACTAGTAATATAAAATTTGAAAATATTTTTTTATTAGCAGTAACGATTCATTAAAAAACAATTTTAATAAAGTAAAACTCTACTTTTAACCAAAATTCGGAATAATTTTAAAATTCCACACTTTTATATATTTTGCCAGAAGCGATTGGCTTCATCAAATCATTCGGTACAATAAATTCTGTAAATACCATTACTTTTAAATTTTTTTCTAATTGAAAATTAAAATAATTTTTTCTTTTTGTTTAAGTCTGACATATTTTTGCATTTATTATTTAATTTGTAAAGCTTCAAATAAAATCAAAGATAATACTTGTGTTATTTTTTATTTTGAAGAATTATTTTATTAATTTAATTTATTTTTAGGTTTAGGGTAGTCAATGACTACAAGTCATGCAATAATAATTTTTTGATCCAAAATAAATTCTTATTCATCAAAACCTGTAAAAATAAACAGGGTTTTAAAAATGTTTATGATTATAATTAAATTAAGATTAAGCATC